ACACACACACACACACACACACACACACACACACACACACACACACAGATAAAACACACAGTGATACACTCCTCTCCAGTGTCAGCTAACTCGCGACTCTGCTCAGGGATGTTATTTTATGACTCTTGTTCTCCATTATTTCTAGGAGGAAAAAGGATCAATACGTTGAAAATCTTCCCCAAAAGCCTTCTGCCACAGTTTCACACCTTTAAATTCCAGTCTCCTCACATTAAGCCATGTCAAGTGAGGTTGAAGTAAAGAGCACAAACAAAAGCTATGGTACTTTGCACTCACAGCAGTGCGCTCCTCAGCCATTGTTGCTAATCCCTTTGAGACAAAAATGTCTTGACTCTACCGAGTTTATTTTATTTTTGCTTCATGAAAGAGTAATATTGTTTTGTTGCTTTTCTCAGCATGAGCTCCACAGTGCACTGGAGTCATTCGCGACACTGGCAGGAGTCCAACAGCAACCTGAATATACTATAGAGTCTATCCATCTCTGCTTTTCACTGCTTCACCGGCAGACTGGCTCATAAAAACCAATGCTACCAAAGCTCAGAAATGACTCACGACGAATATTTCTAAATAATAAAACCATCACCTCTCAAAAAGAAACACACATACACATACAGCATCTGATAACAGTTATACTACGAGACACTCTCCAGACAAAAACATACAAAAGCCAGCGAGAGACAGATTACGAGGCAGCTGATGTGCAAACTCCTGCTTGTGCGCACACAAACAGACTCACAGAAGACATATGACATGCAAAACCACAAGCAATCTTATACACAGACACACACACACACACACACACGCACGCACGCACACACACGCACACACACACACACACACACACACTCACACTTACATAAGCAGAGACAGACAGTGAAAGGGAGAGAACACATGCAGTCACACTTAAATAAACACAATACACTCCTACACAAGCGAACACATGCCCCAATCAGTTCAAAACACACACACGCACATCACACACAACACAGACAATATGATCACTAATGGCTACACAAACAGCTAGGACTCCTTCATCGCTTTTGTCAATACAATTCCATTTTCTGTCTCACCGATTTCTAACATGAATCGTCAACAAACAAAAAAATGCAAACATCTCCCTCTCTCATTTTCTGTAATTGTGTTAATTTTTTCTAACCGTCTCCTCTTTAACCTCCATGGAAAAAAATCAGTCGGCAAAATAGGATTTCTCCTTGACAGCGCATCAAACGCCCCCTTTGGCAAAAATCAGACGCTCTACAATTAGTCTCTTGATTATCTCGCAAGAACACCAAATGCTTCTCGTCATCTCAAGGAGGAATTAAAGGGGAGGCATTTGCTTACTCTCGAAGTAAAGACACACACACACACACACACACACACACACACACATTTAAAATTATACATACAGTAAATATGCACATTACATTCACTCAAATATATTTTGTGAGGCCAGAGTTGATCTAAATCTGCAGATATACAGTATGTTCCAAAAGTCTACAGTTAAATTAACATCATCTAGCTAACGTTTTGCAAGTTTGACACATTTAGTAAATTTATATTCTTATCTGTACTCTATTTTATTGTAGGATAAAATACCCATTTTTATTTTACTCAATGCAGGTCAACTGCCTCTCAGCTCAATAGCAAACAAAGCCGACTCAGCCAGCACGGGCCACCGGCGTTCATCAGAGTGTGATCTTCAGGACAGTAAACAAACAATAATAAGAGGAGCAGAGAAGCCGAGCCTCAGCTAGCTTCTGTGTTTCCTTCTTTTTCTTCTGCATTTCAAATGTGAATCATTTCAGGGATGATGTGTTCAGGATCAGTGAAGGAGATCTTGGCAGGAAAGGGAAGGGGGGCCTCAGGTAAATTGGTGCTTGTTTGAGTTTGGGGAGGGTCTCTGGTCCAGTAGCCATTTTATAGAGCAGAGACTCACCTCAGAAGCCCCAGGAGGAAGAGAGGGGGAGTAAGGCGCTACACTAAAAAGCTCAAGTGGGAAATTACAGAACCAGTGTTCCCTGTAAGACGCAGTGAAGTTCTGCTGTCTGTCGTTCGAGTCTGGGTGACGAGAGGAGTGGGAGAAAAGAACAGACAGAAATAAGCTCATTACTCAGTAGCATTTGGTTATCCAGGGTCACCAAGTTCATGGCCACCTGTGATTCAGGCAAAACTAGGCTGGGAATAAAGAAGAGCCAAGAAGACACACAAAACGTGAGAAGAAAACCGATGGAATCAGCAACAGGACAGAGACAAACAGAAAGTGACAGAGCAGAAAATAGTTGCAGGTTAAAAAGGACGGAGAGACAAACAGAGAACGGGAGGGTGGGTGAGTGAAGGTAAAGCAAACAGAACACAGAGCAGAACAAAGGAAAGAAAGGCAAAGTGAGTCAGAAGATGAATGGTGGTGCAACAGCTATGGTTAGCCCATAAAAGGGAAACTATGTTGTAGGTACATAAATACACTGAGGGGAAATGTTGCTGTATGTGACGAGCTGCAGCGCTGAGGTTGTTATAAACATAACTTCCTCTCTATGTCTCACTCATTCTCCGTTCATGCTCACACGCGGCTCTCACAGAGAGTGAATGGGAGCGCGTTTGCAATCCAGTAAATGTTGTAGCGGTTCCTGTACAGCATATCATATCCTTTATCCACTGCCGTCAGTGATACTGAGATAAAAATTCCAAAGCGGATGTGATAGGAACACTGAGTATGACAATGAGGATAGTAGCATCGCATTGAGCCAAATGCTGCTTCATGGAAGATGATGACAAGGAGGATGAAGATGATGAGTGCTGTGACATGAAATTGTTACGGTGCAGAATCTGATGATGATATAGAGAGTCCTGCTCTGAAAAAGTATGCCTGCTGTCACATTCTCTGGACAGTTAAGATGGATTTTGGAGTACATCTGTTATGCCCACTTTATCCAATTGTCTTCCATTGTGAAATCAGCTGATCTGTGTATCCTCTGTGTTAAAGCTGTGATGCAAGACATTTTGAAATGTTGTACTCTTATATGAAATTCATTGCGTTGAGGTGTTGGGATGCTGCGCCATCCCCACTGATGATGTCCAGATCAATTGTTCTTAGTTGGAGTGAATTAGTCTGTTGAGTTTTTGGACCAATCAAGACAGAACCTGTGGCTCTTGCTGACATGTAATAAAAAAAAAAGAATGTAAGGTAAACTTTAAAAATAGAGTGATCTCAAGATGTATTTTGTGTCAGAGGCATGCTTTATATTGACTCCAACTCAGTTGTGGCAGATTTGGAAGCCTCTCTAAAGAGATATAAACTCTGTAGGATAATTGAGAAACAGAATAAAACTTAATGCCAGTGAGGAAATACATCCTCTCACACTGATTTAGCCCAAATCAGACAAAAAAATGTAATTGGCCCTTAGTTAAGGTTAAACAGCAGGTCAAAGACTGTATGCTTGATTAAGCTACCCTGTACAACAAGAAGCATCAAGCTTCCTAATAATCAGGCTATATAAATTGCTTAGTTAAACACTACGCCCCATGAATGCTCAACATTTAGTGCTCAAGTTCTGAGCCTCAAACAGGACGAGTAGAGACTATTTTTTTCATCGTGATGAAAGTGACGATGACAACGATGATGGTTTCTATAAAACAATCCTAGGTTAGAGATAGATGCACACCTGACACATTTATCTTGTGTGTACGTGTGGTTTCATGAGCTCCGCTTCCAATTATGAGTTCACTCATGGCTGCGTACTCTCTCATTCCTCAGCGCTGCCTCGAGGCCCGGTTGAGCCACCTGGAGGGCTTGTCAGGGAGTTGTCATATACATCTCTCCATCCATCTTGAACCAGTGTGCTGTGGCTTTGACAAATTAGTAAACACTCTTCAGTCTTTTCTTCTGAAAGCCCACCCGATAGCCCCTTCATTCTCCACTCCATCAGCCCTCTGACTGCTCCAGAAATGAGATATTGGCTTTTCACCAATGATAGGGACTCAAGAATGTCTCAGCACTGTGGATTTGTGATTTCTTTACAGGCAGAGTAAATGTCAGAGACGTAAAAGATGGTTTGGAGCAGGTTAGATGATATCATGGTGTCAATGCTCTACAATTGTCCTTTAGTTTGTTTAAGAGGTTTGTCCTGATTAGTTCCTCTCCAGAGAGCTCTATTCTAATGAGATACTGTGATGAGAGACTGAGATGGCTCAAGGGCGTGATTGATGCCTTGGATAGGAGCTGTATCTGTGTGTGCAAAAGTGACAAGTGACACATACTCCTCTGCAAGAGTTAGGAGCCACAGAAAGACTTTTGAGTTTAAGCCTGCTTTTGTGTTAATGCATCCATTAATATGTTGGCGTGACTTTTTTATTTTTTTCTGTACAAACAAGTTAGCATTCACTGTGTAAACGTGAGTGTTTATGACAGACAGTCTGGTGCGTGAGTGTGCATGCATATGTGACTATTCACGCCTCAGTGAGTGCGTAATGTGTGCAGATTTCAGGCTGAGAGGGTGTTTGAGCCTACGTGTTCAAGCTTCAAATAATATATAAGGAAGGGTAAGCAGCTATGTATGTTTGTGTTCATACAAGCAACAAAGCATATTTTTTTTTTATGTGTGTGCCTGCTGGTAAGTTCGTCTCCTGCGGGGGCTTCCGGGCAGTATGCGGGAGGCGCGTTGGAGAGGGAGTCTAATCTCTCCTACAAATCCCTGGAATCCCTGTCTCTCAGAGGCAGGAGGTCACATCGCTCACTGCTCCGCCAGGAGAAACAGAAACAGAAAAAGACAGATGGAGGACGCAAGAGGGATGAAGGGAGAGAGGGAGGATGAAGAGGAGGAGGAAGAGGAGAGGAGGAGGTGAGAGGGAGGGAATGTGTTGGTCTAAAACACACACACACACACACACACGCACACACACACACACACACACACACACACACACACACACACACTTCAGTGTTTTTTATGCAAGCACACAGGCCCATGTCTCCTCACATGTCATACACAAACGAGAATGAACAGACACACTTCCATAAAATGTAATCTCGTGATTAAAACTGACAAAATACACACAGTGCGTTGTTGAGTAATGCCCTTCAGGCCAAAACTCATATCAAAAGTCTGCGGGAGAGCACTGACGGAAATCAGATAATAGAATTTCCTGTGAACTTCCAAAAGCACATCTCCCTTGGACTGACTTTGTTGCTATGGAGATGCTGTTTACGTGTGCTGTACAGCATTTCACGGGTTGAATTAGGTCTTCTTTATTTTAAGACGGTGTTTTGGTATTTCTGCTTTACTGGCCTGCATAAATGGTGCAGCAGCGACTCTTGGAAAGAGCGGAGGAAACAGAAGGCGAGCATGTGACAAAGATTATGAACCAGACTCAACAACGTGATGAGGAGGGAAAGGATGCTCTTCTGGGTGTACCCAAGCCTGTAATTGTGGTTATTCTAGAGTTTTCCCTTAAAGTATGTGCTTGGCAACTTTTTATCTACAAATATATACCTTACAACCTGAGTCAATATGTGAGAATACAAAGGAAGAGTTTATAGACTCATGAAATTCCGATGAGGTGCTTGGTCGCTGTTGAGAAAATCCTGGAACTTAAGCGCAAATCCCAAAGCTTTGTTTTGAACAGCAGCATTTCATTAGCGAGCACTGCATCCAGAGAAAGCAGGACTCACTGAACCTAATTGTAAAGCAGATTTCCCTCCCTACACCATCAACACTCACAATGGAGAAGAAAAGTCCAAGATTTAAAGGTTTATCATATTATATGATTGAAGTCCACAAAAATAATACCTGCAGCTGTCACGAGGGGCCATGAATGTATGAATTTGTTTAATACTAAAAAAGGCGACATAAATAGAAAACTGTTTTTTATCAAAATATCTTTGTCAAAAAAAGAAATTGGGCCGCAAACAAAGACATCCAAAATCTGTTGAACCTTGTTATATATAGTCTTAAAGGGCCAGTGTGTAGCATTTACGGTGATCTATTGGAAAACAATGGAATGTAATATTACTATTTTTTTACTTTTTTATTACTTTTGTGTATAATCAGCTGAAAATTAGAAAAAAGCTGTTTATATCTACATATGGAATATCATACTCGGCAAACTAGACCTTTAAAGATGACCATGTAAGGTATGTTTTATGGAGAACTTATAGGGTTCGTTGGCCTTATGCGGAATGGTCTTTCAGTGACAGCCTGAAACAATGCAGAGAGAGTGGTGAAAAAATGGTATGGAGTAGGTCTGATAAACATCTGGACATATGTTGGAAAGCAGTGTTTACAGTGCAGCTCCAGAGGGCAGCTCTCAGGATGTCTGGTCAGGTCGACACACACACACACACACACACAGGTGCATGTCTCAGCTGCACACTTACACACACTTACAGGAAAACCAATTTCCCAGTTACAGAGGGGTTATTTGGCTTTTAGGGCACGTTAGTTACTGTTGAGTCTGCAGCACACTAATCTCATGTACTGCTTGAGTGAATTCACTGTGTTTAAGGAATAACAACTGAAGAAGAGTTCATCAGATGAATGGGGTTGCACTTGTTTTGGAACTTTGGATTTTGTGGCAGAGGGTTATAACAAGTACATTTGCTGTTGTGGACCTGTAAATCCAACCAGACAGTATATGTGAAATTGAGTAGTACAAATATGCTTGACATATACAGTACATGCTGGTTTATGTAAAAAGAAAAATCAATGACACAAATATTGAAATGCTTCCTGTTGTTAAAGTTTTTAGATCATTGCATTACAAGTGTCCTTGCAGGAAAATAACTTTTGCATGTCCTTTTTGTATGTTAGTGTATGAGTGCCGTACTGTATACTATGAATGTGTGCGATTGCACAGTGTGCTCAGTGTACATTGGGGGTAATTTGGGTCCTCCCAACTGCTTAAATATTTGTTTCAAGAGCATTAGTTCTGAACGTGTATGTGCATAGGTGTGTGTGTGTGTGCATACCGTCGCTGGAGTGCACCTATCATCAGCTGAGGGCTACTGATGGGGACAAACACTGAATATTTAGACTCATTGACTTTCATCAAACTCCACCTATGAGCACAAACATACAGAATGATCCAATGATTAAACAACCAGTTTAGAGCATACTATCTTTAATTCAAAGATCAAAAATATGACAATATACAGTACAAGATTTTGCATTAATCAATATCTCTTGCGTACAAGTGAAAAATACAGTATTTCCGTTAATTTTGCGTTTAAAGCAGTGGGAATCATAAAACCTTCTCTAGGAGTCTGTTCATTCCTGGCCTGGTTCTGGACACAGAAAATAGTTAGCTGCTCTTTCACTCTCCGACAGTCAAAATAAATAAAGACACAAGTCACACTACTTACTAATATGAAAACTTGACAACATTTGTGTACCTGAATCAAGACACGGTCACAATAGGTTAAAGACATTATACCTCTACTAAGTCAACTGTTTCAATTGCGTTTAAAGTTTCAATTTCAATGCTACGAAATGTTCTGGGGGTTACGGTGACTACTAATGAGCTTAGGCGTTTAACCTTAGAAGCTTTAAAAACAACCTGTATGTGTATAGATACATTTGTTATGGCAATAACTCATTTTATAGTTTCACTGTACTGGTTAATGATTTTAAGATGAAAAAGGTCTGATTTGTTTTCCCCACCAACACAAATCGTGTGTAATGACAGCCCTCTAAATGTGTTAATATGAGCAGTATGCCCGCTGCTCATCTTTACCTATGGGGCCAATGACGTTTGATAGCATCCACATAATAAAAGAATAACAAAACCGTGGTGTTTTAGCTTGATAATATTTGCTTTTTGATATTATCCAATGGGTTTCAAAAAGGATGAAAGGGATTTATTTATTGTAATGATCTGAATTGTCAGCCAAATCGTTGGAGCAAGCCATCCGATCTGTTGATTACATGTAAAATACCCAAACTGTCTCATTCATGAAGTTTTTAAATGACAACAAAATATGCAGATCTGTGTGATGTTGCTGTTTAGAAACTGCATTTTAGAAAGGACTGAAGCATTCTCACTGATGGTGTTCAGGTTTGGGGACTAGACAGACTATAAATAATGGGCCAGTGGCTATATTTTGTTGTCCAAAATAGGCTCCTGTTACATGACAGACATACTATGGCTGATCCCACAGGTCAACATAATCTTTAGCACCCTGTTTGTATCTACATCTGTCTATTGGTTGCTTTAGATAGAATTCTACACTTCACAATAAAAACACATCTCAATTCTAGTGGGCAGAATTAGCAGTTTATCAAACTGCATTGTTACTGGATCACATTTTCTCTATATCTAATATTAGTTAAAGCAACAGTTCAACTATTACCTACTGTTCTCCATGTCAGGCGAATCACTGGTGAAGTCGAATGCAGCCAGTTAGCTAGTGCAGCGCTATGTCCTTTAATTAAGTCTCCAAAAGAAAAACAAGCCCATAAAATGACTCCACACAGCCTCTGCAGCACAATCCCAGTGTTTCAGAATCCCATATCTCTATATCTCCCCCATTTTCCCATATCACAAACGTCTGGTTGCTTTAAAGCGATCAGACGGAGTTTCTCTACCTTCATGTGCTAATAACAAGCGCTGACCTCCTGCATTTTATAGCTGTAAACACAACCGCTTGAGGTCATGTCGCTATCTGGCTACTATTTTAGAAAACACTTTGTACCGCAAAGGCACAATGAAGAGGAGAACACCCACCACTGTTTCCTAGGTCCTATTTAACATTTTTTCGTCTTAAAGTGGTCAAATATGCATGAGACCTCGAGTCACAGTGGGAGAGGTATCCTGTGAAATTTCTTATCCTCTTGAATTACCCATACGTGCTTGCTTTCTGGCAGCATGTGCTTATTTAGTTACATTATATTTAAATAATTCTGAGTGAGGTAAAATACATACTGTCGTGTTATCAGTACTTTTGCAATTTGATGGAACTCTACAAAGTCAATTTCTACAAACATAAGATCTCTTGGAGACAGCACACGAGGAGCTGCAATACTGAATGCCTTACCAGCACACTGTGTGTTATGTGGACATACAAAGGTCACTGACTGCATTTTTGGAGAGTGCTTCAATGACTTTCAAATGAGTGTATAAATCCTACACTGTTTCATCGCTTTTTCCTGAATCATTTGACTCCTGATCAAGGTGTGCATTGTGGATAGAAATGCATTAATTAGATAGCCTGGTGTATAAAGGAGAGTACAGTATCTTGACAGGCGTCACTATGCTTGTCCTGACAAAGTGAAGACATAGAAGCAAAGCCAGCCTTTCAGGTGTGAAAAACAAATATTCTTACGACTCCCTGAAGACGTCGCCTTTTATTAGAATTCAACTGTCGACACAAAGCCCCTTCCACTGAGTTTACTTCACCTCTGACCCTCGACCTTGTGCTCTTGTGCAGTCGCAGCTATGTTCTTTTCACATTCCTCCTTAATTTGTCATTGCATAATACAAAACCCTTTCCATTAAGTTATCAAATTTTCGCTCTGCGCCCAGTCTGTTTCTCTCACGCTTTTCTTCTACTTTCTTCCCCGTCTATCTCATAAACATCCTGCCTCCCATCTCCCTCTTTTTCTCACTCTTCCACCATAAAGGTCTTAAAAATACCTTCCCTGTTCCTGCCTCCCCTTCCTCCTGATTTCACCCTCTTTCACATCTTCCTCCCTCCCTTCCACTCTCTCCTTCTTGCGAGTCCTGTCACTGTCTCATGGTGTTCTTGCCAAACTTGTCGCCAAGTTGTTGGATGAGCAGAGCCAGCTCTGCAGCGGCATCGGACTTCTCCTCCAGGAGCTCATAACGGAGGCTGGAAATGTCTTGCTTGATCTCCTTCAGCTCACCTAGAACACAGTCGCACACAGTCACAACAATCAGGACGCGTGAACCTGAGCAAATACAGACATGTATGCGGGTAAGCCCTTGTCTGCAAAGCCCCAAAACTGTGCTATAGTTGACACGTGTGAGTACATGCAGTCACACAGTACATACAATACATGTGATATACAGAGAGACCTCATTTGATGGACTTAAAGATGAGGGAATTTTTACCTTCATTGACTTCATCGCTCTCTCTGTCCACTTGGGCCTTTAGCACATACCTCTTAGTCAGGCGCTTCATGATATTCTAAGCGGAGGAGAGGAAAAGAGAGAGAGAAGGTGATGAGGTGATCTGACATAGACGCGTAGTGTATTCATCACCATTCGTGTGTATGTGCCTATGTACACACACACACACGAACAATCATGCAGACAGTGGTAGAGAGCAGCACAGTGTGTCAGAGACTGTGTGTGAAATATTATTGAGTATTGATCTGTAGCCAACAGGGATGTCCTGCAGCTCTTGCCAAGGCTCACGCAGTCAATCTCTGCATGTAGGCACTCTGAATGAGTCTAAACCTGTCACCACACATACAACTGTCATATAAAGGGACATCTCCATGCCTGGCGTGCGCGTGAAAACCCACACAATCTGCGAGGGTTGGGAGAAAAGTGCAATCAACGTGTGAAGGAAGTTAGATTTCCCTGAGGGAAAAGGTGAAGGGCAGACTCAGGAGGAGAGCATCGCTTGCTTTTCTCAGCGTGATACTTTGAGCTCATTTACTGAGTGCCCGCCTTCCATCTCCCTCAAACAGCTCATTAGAGGCATTTTCAGCCTCTGCTCAGTGTCTCTCTTTTTCTTTTTGCTGCTCCTCTTTCTCCCTCTTTCACTCGCAATCACTTGTTCAATCCTGCCTTCTTTTCAGTCGATGCCCTTTCATCCAATCTCTTGGAAAAGTATTTCCTCTCTGTTGTCTCTAGCTCATCTCCCTACCTCACTCTTCCTTACCTCCGTCTTTCATAGCAGTCTCTTCACCTCTTTCAACCCTCTAATGTTTCTCTCTCCATCTCTCTTCCTGTCATTCTTTATCAACCTCCAGCCACTCACACTTTTGTTTTGTTCTATATCCCTCATCCTTAATATTCCTCCCTCTCATTTAATTCTTCCTTTTCACTTCTACTGAATCGCTTCTGAGAGTCCGGTTGTGCTTGGTCTCATCTTCGCTCCATCCATCCTTTGCTCCCTGTCTTACCTCGTATCTGGTCGGGTGTTTTCTAGATTTTCTGGGGATGAACTCTTCTCCCGGGCGTGGATAAGTCCTGAGGCGTTCATCCTGTTGGAATAGTGAGATACAGTGTTAACGTCATATTTCAGGGTTGAGTGATCTTCTATAATGAAAGCCTTTCATGGTGTTGCAGGAGGCAACACTGGCAAAAAACAAAACAACAAAGAAAGGAAGGTATCTGGTGCCCATAGATGTCTTCAAAGAGAATCAACATCATCACTTGACCAGAGTGAATTTCTATCAACTAATTTCCAGATTTCCTCCACGTCCTTGCTGTGTAGATTGTGTGTCATTTTGGCACTGCAGTGACAAAATGAGTTCTAACTTAAGTGTGGACACACGCAACTAGCTGCTGCTCCATATGCACTAAAGCTATGGAGGCGTTGGACTTTCTCAACATAATAGCCTGATGATTCAAAAGTTTAACAATGAGTAATAAATAACATGTACATTCTACATGTGCCCTTCCTTCATAGGGTGTCTTGGCTCAGCCTTAGAGATAGCTTTAGGAGCTCAGACATCCGGAAAGAGCTCGTAGTAGAGCCTCTGCTACTTCACGTTGAAACTGGCCAGTTGAGGTGGTTCGGGCATCTGATCAGGATCCTCCTTGATGCCTCCCTTTAGAGTTTTTTTTGGTCTACCCCGGGACCCAAAACAGTGGAGTGATCATGAATCTCGTCTGGCCGGGGAACGCCTTGGGTTTCCCCAGGAAGAGCTGGGAAATGCCTGCTGCCTCCGCAACCTGGCCCAGGATACGCAGAAGAAAATGGATGGATGTATATTTTTTCCTAAAGAATAACTGCCAAAGCTCAAAAGTTCAAACTTAAGTCAAAAAAAAAACATTGAAGTTCATGATACAACACCTCAACTAACCCACAGTATGTAGCCTACTAACAGAGAATCAATTATCACCTAAAGTAGAGACCAGTCAGGGCTACATTCATTTGGGCTCTCACTGACTTTATATTATATATTATTTCATTTAGCAGGGAATCTTGTGCTCAGTGAAATAACATAATGTAGAGTAATTTTTATGACTTTGTAGAACACAGAACACCTACTGCAAACACAAACTATTTGCAATAGAGAGGCACATTAAATGTTCTACTCACTGCTTTATTGAACCACACTACCGTGAATATATGAAAGAAATATTCACTTTAGAAACTGCAACTTAATTGGTTATCTCCTGAACATATGCTGATTTGAAACCAACACAATTAGATTCAATTTAGCGCATCCCCTTTCTCAAACGGTGGATATCCTTATGAGTAACATGGACCAAAAGACAGAGAGGAAAAAACGGATGATTCAGAAAGATCACGCTGTCTTGTCCAAATGTCATTTGACATTCTCGACGCTGCACGGTGGTTGGGTGTGAGCTTATTTATCGATCGCTTGCTGAACCTGCTTGGATCTGCAGTTAAACAGTCAGAGCTACAGAGAACTTCAGGAGCTCACAGAGGCAGCGGGGTGTAACCCACCTGCCCAGGCATCTGAGTCGAGGCAGGCCTGACTAATAGCTTATCTGAGGCGCTGCTGTGAACCATTTGAATCGAGGAATCAGACAGAGGAAATGCCTGCGGACAACGCCAGCGCTAAGATTGATTCTGTGTTTAATGGCCTATGCTATTTATTTCATGCAATAGTTTCTTTTCATTACAGTGATTATATTTAGATGGGCATTCCTTTAGAGGGAGAATGTGTAACAATGAAAGGAGCTGAAGTTGCATTGCAGGCATGCAGTGGCAATATAATGTATTTCCTGGCTCCCACCAGAGTTTCTGTAAAATGTGGGAATAGTTGGATCAAAGCACTTAGAAAGGATAATAATACTGACATGAAGAGAAACTCTTATTTAGTTGCTACTGCAACTTTGTTTTGAAAATCATAATAATCGATTCTTCACAATGTCAAAAATAATGTCGGCCCTTTTGTTGTTCCCCGTCACGGAGAACAATGCATGTAAAACAGCAAAATATTATTTTGTTTGTGTTTGAAATTCGTCACGAGAGAAGTAATCCAAGGCTTCCTGACCCTGACCTTGGCCTGTGAGTTGAGCATGCCCAGCTCCAGCTCGTTATGGCGATGGCTGTTGGCCTTGCAGAGGTGTATCAGACAGGACTTGATGCGGAGGACCAGGTAGTAGAAGGACTTTGGGCTGGGAACCATGTTGAAGGGGGCGGGCAGGGTGCGGCCCTCGTCAAAGTAGGAGAGCCACAACTTGGCTCGGGCAAACTTCCACTCTACGTCAGCATCCTCCTGCAAAGACGGACAGAGAGACGAAGCTTGTGAAGTCTTACAAAACCCATTAGATTGTAGAAACCTCTGAAAAAAGAACTAGTTACTTCTTTACTTACTTCTCTGTGTTTTTTTTTGTTATCTCCACCAGGAGATTATGTATTCGGTTGTTTGCTTGAGTGTGTGCGCGTATGTGCATATGTGTCTGTCTGTCCACGGCTAATCTTGCAAACTACTGGACCCATCAGCCGGCCATTTTGTGCTCATTTATGATTGTATGCTCAAGGTCTAGTCATTTTATTTCCACCCTTTGGTACAGCTTGGTATTAATTAATGGTGGAACGTAAATCAGCTGAGGTGGTTCGGGCATCTAATTAGGATGCCTCCTGGACGCCTCCCACTGGAGGTTTTCCAGGCACGTCCAACTGGGAAGAGACCCCGGGGAAGACCCAGAACACGCTGGTGGGATTACATCTCCCAGCTGGCCTGGGAACGCCTCGGGATCCCCCAGAATGAGCTGGAACATGTTGCCGGTGAGAGGGAGGTCTGAGTCAGCCTGCTTGGCCTGTTGCCAACGCGACCTGACCCCGGATAAGCGGAGGAAAATGGATGGATGGATGGACAGTAAATGTACTTATATATTTACTATTTATTTATGAGTAAATGAAATACAATGCAATGTTTTACAGAAAATGAAACCACCCAACAGTATAAAATGAATAAAATGAGCTCTATTGCAGTCAGCTACCACATTTAAATGCATCTAATATGTTACTGCATCTCTATTATTAATCTGATATTATTATATACAATAATGTTACTAAATAACCCATTTGGCTGCACAAGAAGTACTTGAAATTGTATACTTTAAGTACAGTTTCTTGATTATATACTTAGATACTTTAATCTGAGAAATATTTTGAATGCAGGACTTTACTTGTAACCGAGTGTTTTTTAAATCCTGGCATTATAACTTTTACTTCAGCAAAAGATCTTAGTACTTCTTCCACCACTGGTATTAACCAGTGACGCTGGCTCAGTCACTTTCATCATCAGTTGCTTCTGAGTCGACTCACATGGATCAACGTAAGGCTTTACACATTGAACTGCAGTTTAGCTGCACAGAGCCAGTGCAGACAGCTGCATAGATTATAATAAGAACCTATCTGCTGCGTGAGACGTGTGAGTGGAGGTCTAGAAGAGGGGTTTGAGAATTTTCGGGTTGTGTTCACTCAATCAAACATTACAGCAGTGGTCGTTGCAGACACAACTGGCGGAGATCTCCACTCTGCTGCGTGCACCTTTCTTCCATTGTATTGATTTTTTTTAAGGCTCATGGTATTTTCAACTCACTCTCCTGCAGGCTCAGATGTGATCAGACAATGATCCTCATTGACTTGTTGACAGTATTATAACCTTCAATATTGACCGACCATCTTATTTATCTACCTCTATCTCCTGGTACGAGCTGTTGATCATAGCAATGAGCATGTTGAGAAGGACGACCACCATCGTGACATTATAGACCCCGTACAGCACGTAGCCGATGTTCTCTATGAACTTATGGTCGTACTTCAGCACCACTGAGATCACTTCAGACAGCCCAAAGATCGACCAGAAAAGAGTCTTAAAACTCTCCTCCACCCTGTGAGGAAAGAGAGAGAAGATGTGGTGGTGAGAAAACAGTACATGACAGTGAACACACAGCTGAAGCAGCTAATTGCTGTCTCACTAAAACACATGCACACATGCACATGCAAACACACAAAATGTATTTTAATGTCGTGGGGTTTTATGAGGTGGCACTGATGAAATAACCGATGAGTCATGTCCAATTTGAACACATTATCCCATTATCCTTCTCACACAAATACAAATACACACCTGCACTCACACACCCACACATACAAACACACACTTACACTAACACACGCGCGCTGCACATACATGAAAACATGTCGCACTTCGGCAAAATCAAAAAAGCAGGAAATGGGAAAAGGGACTTCAGCATTTGAGAGATCATTTGGTTTATAGAAATCAGTTTAGCCTGTAGCCTTAGGCTTATGTTGACCTTAACTGAAAAAAGATACTGAAATATCACTGCAGTTAATGGGGAAACAATAAAGGTTTGTTTTTCATGCCATAACTTAAAATGGATGTGGTCATTTCTTTCAGGGCTGTCTGAAAAGATAATTTAACATTTCATTTTGATACATTTTTCTGTCCTCGGTTTAATTTGAGTCATCATGGATTAAAATTTCTGAGACCGTTTGTTGACGATTAGACAAAAGCACTTCTAACTCTGTAAATTTTATTACATTTATTTAAAAATGTAGTGCGCTTTGTCCTCAGGTCCACAGCCTTATCTCCGTTCAGCCTGAGGGATCATTCACCGACACTGACCCAAGGTAAAACAGCATAAAGCTGCAAGACCTGTCACCATTGACATTCAGGTACATGTCTGTCGTTAAATATTCCATGAGTGGCAAGAATGGGTTTGAGATGACAGAGGAGGGTGGGGAGCTGCCTGGTTGGATTGCTGGAGGAGGTGAAGGTGGAAGGAGGCTGTGGGGAGAGAAGATCTATCGGCTCCTGGTCTGAGGCTGTGAATGTCTTCCAACTTCACTTCTTTCAGAAAGACAGTTTCATCGGTAAGCAGAGAGCTAGGTGACGGCACAGAGAGAAAAAACACAACCTTGCATGCATATAGAGATGGAGACACACACACACACACGCACACACACACACACGCACACACACAGAGACTGTCCCTTCTCAGCTCACACACGCATGAAACAGAGACTCCTCTGGGTGCTTCAGCTTTGACCTTTCAGGCAGATAGCAAAGCACACTTCAACCTTCAAGACTTGATCTGTGTGTGTTCTCTCTGTCTAACTCAGCTGTAAATCATATAAGAATATAATGTGCCTTAATCTAATATATGTATTAGAAAAATACAATGAACACATTGATGCTTCCACCAGGTAGAAATAGACAATTGAAAATGTAATTACCTCGATATCAAAACCCCTATTTTGTATCTAGTATATAGAACAACCTCGTTCATTGTCATTAAAAACACTTCCTGTCAATGACTCCCTGTATCAGACTGGCCTTAAATTGTCTGCATACTGTCACTATTCTCTGTGCATCTCTGAACTTTAGCAGAATGGCATGATTAATGGTCGGTACAAATATTTATAGCCTTTAACCTCTAAAATATGAATTTTCCTATGAACGCCTTTCCATTTTCATTGATTTCTCCATGTTTACGTCAATTGGCATTCTGCTCACTTGCTAACATGACGGATGTCCTCATGATATTATGCCTATGATCACTGCTAACTTGCATGTCAATAATTTGTGAGGTGTGCACAGAGCTTTGTACCAATTGCTGAACATCGGACATGCAAAACCTCATGAGTCACTATTTCAAAACCACAAAAGACCACAATGACATTTCAACCGGTTGATAACTATTTTGAGAAATGAGTATCTCTTTCAACATGAATGCAGAGGCATACGCAGTGACACCAGGCACTGGAGGCATTCCTGAACAGAAACACATTCACAAGCAATGATAGTAGTTCTTCTTTGTGTTGCTGTAATGGATGGCATCAGACAGACCATTGGTGCGAGACTATCAGCGACCGAAGGATGATATCAACAACACCATCTTCTCATTTACTATTCACATCACACACATCCACCAGACTATCGCACAATCAAGAGAGCTGAGGAAGGTGATTTTGGTCGCCTTGCCTTGAAAACCTGTTATTTTGAGCCTTCTTTCTATAAATAATGCCTCTTACCTGGAGCTTCTCTGACAAGATAAAAAATGCTTTCCTGTGGCTTTGAAAAAATGAAACAAAATAAAAAGGCGACAATTATCGGGTCTCTATAACGTTATATCCCAATTATCTTTTTAATCAAATTATTCTGTCTCCCAGCTCTCCTTCCTACCCAGCGTGAAATGCTCACTCCATTTACATTTTTATGTTCCCCCAAAAATATGCGAGTGGAGATAATGATGAAGGGCTTTGTTCCAGGCAACATTAATGTGCCATTAAACCAGACGCTGGCCCAAACGCACACACGCAATTAAAAGTACGCACACACAGTGGCTATTTATACACCCTGTTCATCTGCCTGGGCAGGCTGGTGATTTAATATGAAGTTCTAAAACTGTGGATGGCATTTTATGTGTTACTGGAAGTGAGCCCCTCCTTACCCGTGTATATAATACTGTATGCATGACTACATACATTACACCTCCTCATTTAGGGAAATAAATAAAAACGGAGGTATCTGCTTTTGCAAATGAATCATTCAAGTGTATATGAGGGTAGAGGGTCTTCTTCCCTGCTGGATAAAACTGACGCACAAGCAGCCGGCAAGTCATTTGTTTTGCTCATTTTCTGCTTATTTGATTCATTGAAACCTGCGTGAGGTGCCTCTACGGGAGGAAGTGCAATTATGAAAAATGTAAAATATAATCTTTTGTAGATCAACAACATTGATAGATTTTTATTTGTCTCTTGCTAATGTCAGACACTGGTCATGCAATGACCTGCGACTGAGACATATGAGACGCTCGATGCTCTGGATAATGGGAGCTTTTTTTTCCAACGTAAGAGAATGAGATTATTTAATTTCAAACTTGCTTGTGTTTGTGTTATAACATCATTGTACAACAGGCAGTGAATCAGCAGGGACAGTGGGCATCTGGAGACAGAGATGGACAGTGTGTTATTATCTGTTATTAAGAGTGACAGCTCCCAATAGGCTGCACGCAGCACGGCAGCTAAATATGCGTACAAAGACACACACACACACACGCACACACACACACTTACCCCTGCAGGACACTGACAGTAAAGAAGTTACTCTGTTACCGCTCATCCTCTCTCTCCCACACACACACATACGTATATACACTCACACCACATATACAGCATTGTGTGTGCGGGGGACTGGTGAGTCACCTCGGCTCTGCAGGAGCCGTCCAAACCCAATCACAGACAGGCCCAAATTCAACCCCTCCCCTCCAGAGACAGACTCTCTTGCTTTACGCCTCAAGTTTGTCTTAGTTCCTCTCTCTCTCTGCCTCTCGTTCGCTTTCTCCATCTCTCTCACCCATTTTCTCATTATATTTCCATTGCTTTTCGTATCTTTGTAAGCATCACGCTCCCTCCCTCTCTCGCTCTCTTTCCGTCTATGATCCCAACAAGCTTTTAGTCATTTCTGTCACTCAATCTATTTGTATGATTTATACTTTTGATTTTTCATTATTTTTTCCCCTCTCATATATAAATCTCTTCTTTGTTTAACCTGCAGCAATATTCTCACATTGGCCAAATGCACACGTAGACTGAGACTGAACGGCTGCATCCAGCCTTCTGTCCTTCTGCCCCTCAGTCATTAGCAAGATATTAAATTTCTCCTTCTCGATTTGCTTCTATTTTTCTTTTCTCCACTCCTCTCCTCTCCTGCAGACAAGACAAGTAGTCCGTCAGACAGGCAACTAAAGAGGAAACATCTTTAAATATCAAATTGAGTTTAACTTTCTATCCGTCGCGCCAATGGAGCTGTCACCATGGCGACAGCAGGGGCTTGCCCACCTCGGGTTTTAATGAATGAATGAATAGTCCTCAGAGATGCTGGCTTGCCTGCCTGTGTGTTCTGTTGATAGAAAGACAAAGAGAGAGGCAAAAAGAAACTGAAGGCACGGAAGAAATATTGATGTGTGTGTCTCACGAGTGGGTCTGTTTGTGTGTTTGTGAGTGTGTGCATATTTTTGTGACAAGTAGTGGGATACAAAATGAGACAGACAGAGAGAAATGCAAAAGGATGCTGTTTTGGTGTGTGTCTTCAGGCAACTTGTGAGAGAATTCTTATTAAGCGGGGAGGACAACACCACAAGAAGAGCAATTAGAGAGTGTTTTGATACCGAGTCAAACACGACATCAACTTTTCTTTAATTTGCCTGCTCCCTCGCTACTCTCGCTGTTAGTCTGTGTCGTCTTCCTCTTTTCAAGTCAATTATTTTTATTATTATATTATTATAAAATGGATTTGATCTTTTAAAAAAAAAAAAAAGAATAAGCAGAACAAACCATTGTGTTGGGCTGATTACGATTTTGGCTACTATTATGTGTGACATCAGCCCGCCAAACTCCTCTGTAGAACTGCTAACGTCGAATTATTGCTTAGCTACAGTAACTAGGCAAGGATTTCTCCACATGTCGAAGCAGTGAGCATGTGGTGAGGATTATACCACGTATACTTCCGGCGTCCCTGCTCGGACCACACCCATCTTTAAACTTAATTTTGATCTCAAACTTTATTTGTGACAGCATCTTGCACAGTTGCAACACTATTAGAGTGACAAAATATGTCCACAGACAGACAAACAGACATAAACCACCTGGCAAAGTACTCAAAACCGCCTCTGTGGTTGTTCCCACTAGTTGGCTCCAGGGCCATTATTTGCCATGATGACTCACAAACAGACTCACATGGTGAAAACAATACCAACGTTGCGGTCCCCGCTGGCAATGAAGCATTTGAAATTTGTCTGTGGTTAATTTAGAAAGAAATAATCCGATTTTACATGTTTTCCTCTCATACTTATAATATTGGGAC